CAGAGAAAGATGAGCTCATAAAAGAGAGAGAAGTGGTCAGGAAAATGAGAGAAAAACCTGTTTAGCACAATGTCACAGAAACCAAGGGAATAAAATTTAAAGAAGGAAGAGGTGGGTAGTCAAATAGATTATCAAATGCAGAATATAAAAGCCAAATAACAATAGCAGGAGTGTCCATTAGATTTAGCAAAATTTTTGCTTTCATAAGTACAATTTTAGGAAAGTGGTAGGTCAAAGATTAAATAAGGGACAGACTTTTTAACAAGCTAGAACAATAAATTCACGTTTGACGCAATCCTCCTGTTCCTAACACATTGCAATGGTAGAGTTTTTTAAAGCAGAAAAGATAAAAACAATTTGGACAAAATAAATTATATTTAAATAAATACGAATAAAATTCAGGAGAATGGACATATTGGCCTCTAGGTCTACAAGCAGATAGTGGCAGCTATGAGTTTGACTTCTAAAGATAAAAGGACTAAAAGTTTTTTAGCTCAATCCAAGATGGAAGAAGAAACCAGTTCATTGCTTAAAGCTGTGATGAGATTTTCTCATTTGTGAAAGAAATCTGGAAAAATCCTGTCCATCAACCTTCTGGGGGTGCTGTAGTTGAATGAGAACGCTGGGCTTAGTGAGGTGGGAAGACCCAGACATAGCATCATGATTACAAATTTATACAAGCTATCCTGTGGCTCTGCGATAGTGCTCAATAGCAGGACAGCAGCCCCAGTTACCATTATAAAACCTGGTTTATAAATAGGAAGGGATGTAGAAAGTGAAATGGAGGCTGATGCAAAACTACTGAGGAATAGGGAATGATGAGCCTAGAGGTAGAGAAAGAAAGAAGGAAAGACATTTATGCTAGATAACCTGCACCAGACCAGAGCTATTTTTAATTAATCAAATCAGAAATTTTGTCTAGGCTCACAAAAGTGAAATTAAGATGTTTTTGTATAGTAACGTGTCTTTCATTAAACTAAATATTAGAATCACTTATTGATTAGTTATTACCTCTAATTCTAAAAGTTAATTTTTTTTTACGGTGGGTGATTGGATATTTCCTAGTCTTAGTTTTAATAGGTATTTGCTGAATAATTTAGAGACTACACCTGAGACGCTTATTTGGTGATAATCACCCAAGTCCTATTTATTGCCTTTGTGAATCAGCTGAAGGCAATGCTTATCAGTAGGAAGATGTCAAATAACATTGGGGGCACCATTTCCTCCTTGGTGACATGATTAATTTCAGAAATGTGCTAAGGCCTTTTATGTGTTGTTATCCAGAGTTCACTCACATGTGTCGTTGGAACTGAGGGTCAAATCAAAGAGGGAGGAGAGGGAAGAACCAATATCCCTTAAACTCTGCCAAGGGCTTTACCTACTTTTTCTCCTTAATTTACTCCTTACATCAAGTGTGCAAATCAGTACTCCATGTTATAAATGGAAGACCTAAAGACCAGAAAGGTTAAGTGACTTGCTAAACTTATACCATTATTAAATGATGGAGAGAGTCATTCTGACTCTAATATATCTGGAGCCTCCTAAATCATAATGTGATAAGTAAATGGATTTGCTGTATTTGTCCATTAAAAAAATATGGAATATTCAAACACAAGACAGTTATCTGTTGCTGAATGATATTTTATTAGCTTAATAATTTGGGCCTGCCCTTAGCATTAATAAGCTTCAGCACTAATCACAGATTTTCATTCACTGGTGGGGAAACTTTATTGTTTTAAAAAATGCAGTTAGAGAAAGGGCATCTACTTCTTGGGGGCTGCAGTGACAGCAGGCTTCTCTTCACGGGTGATGGGAATGGTGCGCTCAGGGCCAGAGGCCTGTTTCCTTGGTCCATTCACAGTGAGGACCCCATCAGAGGACAGTGATGAAGTTATGGCAAGAGGGTCCACATCTGCTGGGATCCGGTATTTCCTGTGGAACTCCCGGGAGATGAAACCATGTTCATCCTAATCCGAGAGAACAAGGAAAGAGGCAGACAGATAAGAACAGGAAAATAGCACCACTTGCTTAGAACTCAAACATCCTCCTTTCCCTTAGATGTGACCAAATGCCACGGCAACATGAGAAAGATGTTCTGTTTGGGGCTAAGATGAAGTTCCCTATGTGGTCACTCCTATCAATGAGAATCTGAGAAGTCTGAAACAGGCAAAACGTCACAGCTCTCTAAACACTGAGCATAGATGTATTCACAGGTATTTCCCAAAGGTTTAGATCAATATGTGTTGGGCCTACAGGATTTGGAATATCAACCAGAATTGAAGATCTGAATCCTTGAAGAAGCTCATAAATTGTCCTGACTCTTCAGGAATGTCCCAGAATGTTCCAGACCAGTAGGACTGCTGCTATTTAAAAAACAAAACAAAACAAAACTCCATCCAGGGAGACTATGACTCAAACTTAAACCATGTATGCAAAACGGCAACAGTTTGAGTACCTTAAACTGTACTGTTTGATGTACAAGGTTCTGAGTTATCACTAATTGGTAAGCAAACCTATTAAATCCCCCTCTCCCCCAGAAAGTAATGAGAAGCTCCATTCTTTAGAATTCTGCTAAGAGTAGTTGCCCCTAACCCTTATACCTGCTGAATCTCAAGCATTTATCCAGATGGGCTCTCAATTAACTGATTTACACAGGTGCTCTAGGGTATTAGGAGCTCTGAAATTTAGGCAAACCAAATAGTTTAGCATTAAGATGGGCTAAAGACAAGAGGATTCCTGAACATCTTAAAGTCCCAAACACCTTCAGGGTACGTGGAGTTAACGTAATTATGTAAAGTAACCAGGTGTGGGACAGGCACTATGCCTAAATCAGTGGGCTATACATTAGAATTACCCAGAGAGCTTTTAAAATAATGATGCCTCGGGCCCATTCCTAAGAATTCTAATTTAATTTGCCTGAGCATTGGAATTTTTAAAAATTTCCTTCGCAATTCTAATGTGGCCAAGGTTGAGTTAATTATCCCACCTATCCCATCTAAGTCAATCAGATCAAAATAAATAAACAGCAAAGATCACTTCTCTGGCCAAAACAACAGCAACAGCAACACCACTATCACCACCACTACCACCACCGCTGCCGCCACCACCACCACCAGATCTATCCCTGCTCCAAACCCTAATGGTTTAGGACTGGAATGTTGCCATAGTATGCACTAAATGAATGAACAGGAGAGAAAACGAGCTACATACCTGGCGTTCTTCATGTTTGCCATGCACCTCAATCACATCTCCCAGCACCTTGACCTTGAGTTCTTCTGGGGAGAAGTGCTTCACATCCAGGTTGACAGAAAATCTGTCCTTTTCCAGACGCATCTAGAAATAGCAAGATGCGGGGAAGAGATAGGAGAAAGAATAGTAGGAACGTGGATTGCTAGTGCACTCTCATTATTCTGCAGACTTACTTTCTAGCCAAGTAGTTTATCTTCTTCATTTTGGCTAAAAATCCCTTTTTGAATAAACATGACTCTCTGGTTCAGGGGAGCCACCACAGTAGTACTTGGTCATTAGGCTCAAACTTTATTTACAGGGACAGGGAAGGAAACAGGCCACCCAGGAGAGCAATCACAAGGATGGATCTGGGCATGGCTTCTGCTGCCTCTCTAACCCCAATGCCTGGCCTTGTCATTTGTCTATGAGACAAAGGCCCCTTCTTCTTGCCCAGGTCTCTGCCAAGTTTCCCACCCACTCAATCTGGAATGTTCTACTGGCCCTGATTGTTCTTCCAAAGCCCTTGCCCTCTCAGCTCCTGTTTACTCACACTTGAATATTTTTAAACCAGAGTGTTATCTGTGATAACTTCTGTTAACTTTATATGTTCACCCCATTCTCCTATCCTCTTAGGACAAGTGGGGGTCCAAAGACTGGAAGTATATTCTTTCCTCCTCAAGCTTGGACCCAGGCCAGTGCCATGTCACAGCTCTGAGAAGCCCAGAAAATCATAGAAGAGAGAATAAGAAGGAAGAAAACAGCGGTTGCTGTCTCCAGCTCCACTTGGTGATGAAAAGCTCAGGATGAGGTAGGGCTGTCTCCTAGCTCTGAAACTTAAGGTGACAAAATTTGTCAGGAGTATGAGGAATTAGAAGTGGTGCACAAAGGAGTCTGAAGGCAGCTATTTCCCTGTAGATCCTTATGAACTAAACCAGAAAGGATCATCCTACTTAGGGGATAGAAGATGATCCTCGTAGCACAAGAAAAGAAATGTAATAAGTAGGATACAGAAGATCTTCAAAGACATGTAACTGGGGGAGAGAGGAACTAGTAACCGCGTCTTTCTTCGCTACAGGACACACGTGTGCCTAAGAGACTTAAGACACTTAGACATAGCCAGATTTAGATAGACAGGAGAAGTAGAGCACATGGAGATATTTCCAGAGGTTAGGGAAGAACTTCTTACAGAGGGGAGACTTACCTCTGAGAGCCCAGTGTCAATCCAGCTGGGTGCCCGCAGGAATGAGGGCGGCCGAAGGTAGAAGGGGCTCAGGGAAGTAGAAGTTGGGAAGAGATCAGACTCCAACAGGTGTTCTCCAAAGAACTGGTCAAAGAGGCGGCTGGGGGAGTGGAAAGGAAAGAAGGGGCGTCGGATCCAGGGGTGGTGGATGGCGATGTCCATAGTGGCTAGGTGAGTGTGGGGGTTAGCTGGCTGGTCAGCTCCTTCAGCTGCAGCTACAGCCAGCCCCTTATATATGCAGTCTTGTGAAGCTTCTGGAATGGTGATGTCAGGGGTTTTATTATCCCAGCTCACCACCCGTTCATGGAGACTTGTGATCAGGGATTTGGCAGTGTGACACATACCCAGTACTCACTGAGCTAAGAAAAGAGAAATACAAACACGTCTGAGCTGGCCAGTGACTTGTCCTGGACTTGTTTCACTAGCTTTCTGTCCACACCCAAAGGGACCCTCCCCCCGCCCCCCCCCCCAACATCTCTTGGGACAGAGTCAGGAATCCCAAGCAGGCACGATGTATGCCCCTCCTCCTCTCCAGCCTGGCGAGCCAGGGGAATCCAGCCAGCGACTATCTTGGGCCTGGGCAGGAACTGGAATCTTCCTTGGCTGGGCCCCAGAGACATTAACTCTTTGTGAGTCCCTGGAAGAGAGCCGTGATCACCAACATGTCAGTGGCAGGCATCTGTGTGGTGCTCAAGGTTGACTTGGTTTCAGGAGAGGACCCTGACATTAATCTGGGCAGGAAGACTAGACTCCTCACTCCACCCCAAAGCAAAGGTAGGAAAGTTTCTTGCATCTTATACCTTACAAGGCTCGCAGAGCATCAAATCCAGGAGAGCTTTATGAGGTAAGGTGAAGGGTGCCTGAGACTGAGGAGGAGAAAAGATGGTGTGGAAAATGTGCAAACAGTGAGGGTCTCAGCTAGGACTCTCCAGGGACCCTGACACCAGCCTCTCCTCCCCAGTTCACTCCCCAGTTTGCTCAAAGCCAGGACCCTCAGCTGTCCTCTCAAGTCCCCTGCGACAGCTGAAGGGTGTGCGGGGGAGGGGTGGGGGTCCAGGCAGGCTGATCACACACTCTTGGCTGGCGCTCAGGGCCCCGCTGTCCGTCCCTCCCCTAGGCTCGGCACTATTTTGGGTGGTGTAGACCCCGCCCCCACCTCGGACGGAGCCCTAGTTCTTCAGACAGCTGGAGGGGTCGCGCTGCATCTCGGATCAGGGCCGCCGACACATCTGCAGCCATGTCGGGCCGCTCGGTGCCACACGCCCACCCGGCCACCGCCGAGTACGAATTTGCCAACCCGAGTCGCCTGGGTGAGCAGCGCTTCGGAGAAGGTATGGCACAGACGCCACTCCCTTGCCTCCCACCCCCACCGCCTGAAATTCTGGGCTGACCTCCCAATGGTGCTGGCCTCCACCCCACTCCGGGCTTAACTGAACTCCTGAGGCGAGCCATCTCCCATCCCAGCTCCCCCCTCCTCCCTCCAAGCAGGGCTCTTTCCCTTTCCTACTGACCTCAGTGCAGACGTGGTGCCTGCAATGCTTTTACACCTGTCCCCTTATCCCCTTAGTATGCCTCCTTGTTCCCCTTATGTCCACCCAGTTCTGCTTCGGTTTACTCTCCTCCGCCCCCATCTCATTTCCTTCCTCAATCCCCTCTACTTCAACTACCTCATTCTAGCCGCTGCGCCCTCTCGCCTTCCCTACTTCTCCTGACTCTCCTCCTGCTCTCCCCAGTCCTCATTCTTCATTCACTCCTGTTCCCAACTCACGCTCCCTGCTTCTTGCCTTCTCTCTCTCCGCCCCTCAGGCCTCCTGCCGGAAGAGATCCTGACCCCCACCCTCTACCATGGCTACTATGTTCGGCCCCGGGCCACCAGAGCCGGGGAGGGCAGCAGGGCAGGGGCCTCGGAACTCAGGCTCAGTGAGGGCAAGTTCCAGGCGTTTCTGGATGTGAGCCACTTTACCCCCGATGAGGTGACTGTGAGGACTGTGGACAACCTGCTGGAGGTGTCCGCCCGGCACCCGCAGCGCCTGGACCGCCACGGCTTTGTGTCTCGAGAGTTCTGCCGCACCTATGTTCTGCCTGCGGATGTTGACCCCTGGCGAGTCCGTGCTGCTCTTTCCCATGATGGCATCCTTAACCTGGAGGCGCCTCGGGGTGGCCGACATTTGGACACAGAGGTCAATGAGGTCTATATCTCCTTGCTGTCTGCACCTCCTGATCCAGAGGAAGAGGAGGAGGCTGCCAGAGTTGAGCCCTGAGTGCCACAGACCCAGCACCCAGCACTTTCTACCTCATGTGGTGATAGAGCAGCTGCCACTACCCCAGAGGCAGCAGCATCCTTGAGGGAGGGAAAGTGCATGGGCCGCAATGTATGGTTTGGTCCCTTGGGACGTGTCCTAGCCTTTGGTTTAGTTCTGGGTGGAGCTGAATAAACCCAAATCTCAGGGCCTGGTTTGTGCAGCTCCCTATTCTGTGTTCTGGAGGATGGGTGGGCAGGGAGGGAGAAGGTCATAGCCAGCTAGAAATAACCTCCTCAGTGAGATGTGCCCAACATTACAGAATCCCAAGCTCACACTTGGATGCTGAGATCACGCCCGGAAGCTGACACTGGCTCCAGATCAAATTCCTAGCCATAATTTTCTCACAATGCAACAAAAGAGAGAGTGATCCTGGGAGGGAAAAGGGATATGCCATCCAAACAGCCCAGAGGGCACTGTCTGAGCTGGCGATTAGAGACACAAAAACAAGGGTCTCCAGACTGTCTGGCCTGTTTTGGGTAGGGGTTGGGAAAACAGATTTTGGCTGGAGAGGGTTGCCTAAAGCCCTATTTTCCCATACTAAATTCTGTCCAATGAAAATGGTCTCCGATTCTGAGGAACCAAGTATGTATACACAGGGCTACAGACATAGAAACCTCTGCCATTATCACCAAAGTCTCCTCACCCTCTGCACGGGAGAAGCTCGTGAAAGAAAGTATCATATCTGGGAACATCCCAAAGAGAGGAATCACTGCATCATCACTCCACACATCATCCCAAACTAAGTGCAGGATATCTAGGGTTATTAGTATGGTGGTAAAGGCCAGGGAAGCATCCCTTGGAGGTAAAGTCTTATTACTAGAGGTATGGTGTATGCAAGACAGCCTAGGGCTCTGACCCCTCAATTACTCTCTGTAATCAAGAGAGCATGCGTATGTATGATGTGGAGAGTGTTCAGACCTCACTGCTCCCAAATACATCTTTTACGTGGCTGTGATGGACACCTGAAATTCTTCCATTAAAGTGGTTCATTCTTAACTTTGTTGGGTTACAGACCCATTTGAAAATTTGACAAAAGCTATAAGATTCTCTTACCAGAAAAATACATATGCTCCCAAATTTGCCATACAATTTGAATAGGTTCATGCAGCTCTTGGGAGTCATTCATATGCACCTCTTAGGGATCTGTGGACCCCTGAGATAAGAACCCTCACTTGAAAAATCCAATTTTTGTTTAAAGGATTACCATCCATTTAAAATGAAAGCATGCTTCAGACTAATAACTATTGATATATTCATTTGTTAATTTATTCAACATTTATTTATCAAACCCCAAGTAATACACTATGGGGGATACACATTGTAAGTATAAATTATAAAAACTGTGATCTTTTATTTTCTACTCTTGAGGATTTAGTACCAAGTTGAGAAGAAATAGAATAGAAAAAGGATCGTACTCAGACTTCAACCAGACCACCTTCACACTGATCTGTTTTGTAACTGGGATTTTTACATGAGCTTTATTTAAAAGAAAGTGTTCCTTAGCTAGGAAAACATTTGACACCTCCGATTTAATCCAAATTCCCAACCCTTTCGAATTCTTTCAAGATTATTAGTCATTTTCTTTTTGGACATATCTGTTACAAATTCTTCCTTCTATCGAACCAAAATCTGCATTTTAGTCACATCTGCCCATTGGTTCTGGTTATGTCCAGAAAATAATGCAATTCTTTCAATTGAAAGTCCTTCAGATAACCATCCTATCCTCCTAGGACTTCCCTTTCCTGTCTAAACATGCCTAGTTCTTTTAACCACATCTGATAGGACTTTCCATACCACTTAACCAGAAAACTTTCTCTTGAACACGCTACCTTTTGACAACATAATTTGAAATTCAACATGTAGAACTAAAATTGTTATTCCAGTCCCAAACTGGGTGGTACAAACTTCAGTGAAGTAATCAATACCCTTGTTTATCACTCTAGACTTCTATTAATGCTGCTTTAAAGTGTATCAGGTTTTCTGGCTACCATAGCACACTATTGGTTTCATTGATGTTTCTGGCCGTATGAAATCTCTTAGTTGTTTTCCTTTACATTTTTCCTTTAAAGTAGAGAAAGTGGCTGGAAAGGGACCAGAGACGTGGAGGGCTTCGAGTGCCAGGCTAAGAAGTTTGGGTAATAGGGTGAAAAAAATACCGCTAATGGTAAAGTACAGAATGGATTGCCAGGGAGAAGTATGACCATGAAATGAGGCGAGTGCAATGATCCAGTGCAAGATAATGAAGTAAGATGTTTTACCATCTGACAACTAGCTGAGAATAAGAAGTAATAGTAATAAAAGCTAGGGCTTACTGAGAGCTCCCCATGTGCCAGGCCTTGGACTAGAGCTTCATATACATTATCTCATCTAATCTTCACCACAAATCTGTAAGGCTGTCACTCCCATTGTCTCCATTTTTCATAAGGAAAGAAGATGGGGAGGAGTAAAGAGTCCAGAGTACTCAATGTAGAGTGCAAGGCTAAGTGGTAGGTCTTGAATCCCCACAAGAAGCACACAAATAACTGGGCATCTGAGCAAGACATTAAAGATGGGGTTGGGAGTACCAAAGACAGGCCTTACAGGTTTCACAAATTCTCCTAGAGCCCATATTTTCTACAGAAGAATTTGCTAGACTGCACCCTAGTTGCTGGTAAGTGTATAATGAGTAAAATTTTGGGTCATTGGAAGAAGAGGTTGAGTTGAAGTGTACGTGGAGATTCTGTAGCTCTATAGTGAGAGTGGGGAAGTGAACGGTTAAGAAGGGCTTAAGCTATCGCAATCATAGAGTCATATGATTTTTGACCAGAAAGGGGATTTGGTAATAGGTTCGGTCCTCCATTTCACAGTCCTAGAAGAAAGTGATTTGTCCATGTTAATTCCAGTAGCAAGGGAAAAAGAATATAAATTCATTTCCCTAAATTTAAGTTTGCAAGGGACTCCAATATTTAAACCAAGATTCTGGACAGGAATAATAAGAAACCGATACTGATTATCTCGAAAGCGAAACACAACTAAAGCTGAGTAGTACTGAGAAACACAAGGTAAGAGCCTTTTCTCCATATAGAGGATATATTTCAACGACAATGTGATGTTGCAGAGAAACATTTCCTAAGGAAACCCAGAGCTTTTTTCTAGCTCAGGTTTCTTTTCACTGAAGCTTGATCTCAAAGTTCATAGCTTCATCAAAGCAACTCCAAATCCCCAAGGTGAGATAGTTGTCACCTGGAGCCCGTACGTGTTCTTCTCCCCTTTGGCTGGGAGAAGTTACCTGGGAATCTTTCCAGCAGGTGGCTTCTGAAGTCCAACCTGCTAGGTTGAAATCTGACACTGACAGAGACTCCCTGGGAGCTGCTACTGAAAGCTAAACCAGGAAGCAGGAAATGCACAAGCCTCTTTATGTGGAAAACAGCTGGGCTCCCTCAGAGACAGAGCACCATGGGAAACCGTCTCTGCTGCGGGGGAAGCTGGTGAGTAGGGGGCAAGTGGGGAGGGTAACATCTCTGTCGGTGGACATGGAGGCCCTGAGAATAGAGCCTACGGATAGTTCTCTGCCAACCTCCCACTGCCACCTTCCTCTGCCTGGCACCTCCCGATGCCAGCACCAGAACAGCACCTCCTTCTGTGCTCACTCCTTTCAGGAGACCTCTGAACACACAGCCAAGCCAGCTGTCTGTAGAATGCCCGGAGCCGGTCTGGAATGGTGAATTGGCATTGTTTCTCTTTGTCCTCCTCTTCCTCTCTTTTCCCTTCTGTCCCTTTCCTTCTTCTCTAGAGGATAATTGTAGCATTTGATGGCTTACGATGTGCCAGGCACGTTACAAACAATCTCCTTTAATTTTCCCAACAATTCTATCAATTCTATGAGGGAGGTGGCTTTACTCCTCTTTTTTTTTTTTTTTAACAGCAGAGAAGCTGAGGCTCAGAGCCTTGTCAGCTGAGGCTCCGTGGTCACATGACTAGTAAGCAAATCAAGATTCCAACCTAGGTCTGTCTGACTTCAGAGCCCATACTTTTAACCACGGCATAATACTGCCTCCCAAATAAAGCAAATCGACTTTGGAGAAATGTTTATTTAAAAGGGCAGAAGTGAGGAGGAGACTATCCATGGAATATTTAATATAACTTTCACACTTATTTGCTGTGTGACACTTAGGCAAATCCTGTAACTTCTCTCTTTTTTTCTCACACACACACACAAAAATAGATAACATGACCTACGTTGTTTAGGTCACTGCTTCGAAGAATAGAGGATATATGAAAGCCTCACTATAAATTAATTGTAATGTCTTTATCGTTCTTTCCTAGAGTTGTCATCACTATAAACCCCTGGACTTGGTTTTATCCTGTCCAGTGCCTTCTTAGCTATATCATTCCATATTTGGGTCAGTCTTGAAGATGTCTTATTTATAAATAAAGCATCATTATATTTAGAGATACAGCGAGGTACATAGAAAAGGGCATATGATTTGGAGTCAGTTCACTGGATTAAAGTCCTGTTCCTACTATTCATTCATTTATTAAACATTTTATTAAAACACCTATATGTACCAGGCATAGTAATAGATGCAGAAGACATAGTAATAAAGGAATTTTGGTCCCTGCCTTCTTGAGTAAGATAAAGTTGTAGGGCCTTAGTTGACCTATCTATAAAATAGCAACAATAATACGTGTTTCCCAGCATATTGTCAGAATTGAAAAAGCAAAGACTTTTTAAACTCTGACATGTCCTACAGACATAGGACATCTAGAAACATTAAAGCTTCTAGGGAAGGGAGATGTAACAGCTTCTTTCCTTCCTTTCTTCCAAAGTCTGCATATTCTTCATTTTTAGTTATTTTTTCCTCTGATGGCGATAGTCATAGTAGTCAGCTTCTACTGATGCTCATTATATGCCAGGCATCTAGCTGAGTAGTTTACATTTATTATTTTATTTAATTCTTACAACAATATCATGAGATTTAGGTTGTTATCATCTTTGTTTTATTTAAAAAAAAAAAAAGAAAAGGAAGCCTAATGAAGTTTCAAACATGCTGAAGGTCACACAGCCAGCCTGAAGGTCACACTGTCAGTCTGACTCTAGAGCCTAGACAGAAACACTATATCAGATATTCTAACCAAAATATATTTCTTTCTCTTAAATTATCAGTAAGACTGGATAAATATTATTTTTCTCTATTTGTCATTAGCTCAATAAACTTTCAGAGACTTAAAGATACTATGATAACTGAAGAGATTTTTATTTTTAAATATTTTTTTATCATTACAAAAGTAATACATACTCACTATAGAACATTTGGAAAATACTAAAGAGCAGAAAATAACCATAAATATAAGCACCCAGGGATGATAGGAACATTTGAGTGCATTTCCATGGAATTCTTTTTAAATGCCTACGTGCATAGTTTTTATTCCCAAACACATTTTATCTTTTTAATTGACTTAATAAAGAGTAAAATTTTCAATGTTATTGTTTTCTTCCAACATCTTTCTTAAATTAATGTGTAATGTTCCATTGATTGAGGCTGCCATTTATTCAGTCAGTTCCCAATGTTAGACATTTAGAATATTTCCTTTTTTTTTTTTGCAATTGTAAATAATGCTACAATGAAAATTCATATTTGCTCCTGTCTAATTATTAAGATATGGAATTGCTACATCAGAGGACACACACATTTATGTTTAAGGCATCTTATACTTATTGCCAATTGCAATCTAGAAAGATTGCACCAATATTTACTCCTATTACCAATATAAGAGTGCCCATTTAGTTTCCTTAATCCCAAGCTAAAAATAAAACTTTATCACCTGTGAATTGAACTGAATATTCCATTTGGGTTGTGTCCAGGCATTGTGCAATATCCAACTTGGGGACTGGCTCCGTTTGCTATAATTGTGTCACCCAAGTCTGTTATTTTAGAATTAATGTTTATCCATTTAAGTAGAAGTAGGAAGATAATAGTGACAAGGGGCCAGGAATTAGTGGCTAGGATAAGGCAGTGGTAAGAGAAAGGAAGAGCAGAAGTGGCAGAACAGGAAATAGAAAGACCCAGAGGTAGTTTCAAGGCTTTTCTTCTGAACAACCATTAGAATTCAGATTGTGACTCTGCTTTCAACTCAGCAAGCTGCATTAAAACCAAAAATCAAACCAAAACACAAACCTTTGTCAGATATGTATGGAAAAGTACTGATTTTTCTACAATAGTTAAATGGACATGATTTAGAAGTTTCCCTCTCTCTTTTTAAATAGCAAAAGAAGGAAACTTCTTTGGGGAAACAGAAACCAGACAAATAGGGTTGGCTCTGGTGAGAGCTGGAAATATACTTGCAAGAAAAAGCAATGGAGTAAGCCCCAAACTATTCAGCCTATTTCCTCAGACAAGTGTTGTTTTTCTGGCCATCAAACAGTTGACAATCACATAGATCCCTGGCTCCGTTGGGGACCCCAGGGGTTCAGAAATGAGTATAAGAGGTCTGTCCTGCAGCAAGGGCGAGGTAGCTGAGTCATTTGCCAAATCCAGAGCTCCCTGTGCTGTGGACTTTAAAGGTTAAACATCTCTCACTTTCTCTGTTAATTAAAAACAAGGAGAGGGAAGAAGGGAGGGAGATTACCTGTTAGGAAAGGGCTTTGAGAAGCCTTAACTAGTTAGCTCTGGTTGTGGCAGCTTCTGTGACTCTCAGAATGAGAACCCTGGGCTGGCAGAGACCCCCCCCCCCAAAAAAAAAGCACTGAAACAGAAGTAAGAGGGTCTCTGGATCCAGGAATAACCCATTATTTGGCAGATTTCTCTTACCCTCTGCTGGGATTAGTCTGTTAGACAATCCCAGAATAGCCCTCAACCCAGTTGCATCCCTGGCATGTAGTGCCTGGTTGCTTGAGGCTGTATTTTGGGTCTGGTTATGTCAGTCGTACCACTCCACCTTCCAGAACCATCCCTTTGGGAGAGGTGTGGTACCCTTGATAAATGCTTTGGGCCTGAGTGACTCTGTGTTAGACCGTGGGTGAAGGAAGGTCATCCCAGAATGTTAAGGAGACCACAGAGCAAATGATGGAGGGAAGATAGAGGCCAGGGCTCTTACATGTGGGTGATCTGTTTTTCCTTTCACAGGAGCTGCCCAACAATTTTCCACAGGAAAAAGAAAACAGGTAACTGTGGTGAGGAGAAGAACTTGAGTGGGGTGGCAGCAGGGTAGCAAATTAAAGAAGGTAATAGAAGCAGTGTCTTTGGAAAGAGCACAAATGTGGAAAAGAGTGGTTTTGGAAGGGATAAAGGGAGATAGTGCACCAAAGAGAATCTTTAGGTTACTGGGTTCAAGACCATCTTTGAAACTCTGAGTCTCATCCTTTCCATTATCTTAGAATGGCAAGGTTGATTGCTCATTCTTTCATTAATTCAGTAAAAATTTACTGTGCAGTTATTGTATGTGAGGCACTGCAGAATCCCAAGGAGGCAGAAGGCACAAGAGGAAAGACACACTGTTCAGCCCTAAAAGAGCAGAAACTCAAGTTCGAGAGATAGATACATAAGTAATTATAACGCCATCTACTAGTGCTATAATAGATGCATACTCATGCTGTGGGAGAATGGGAAGAACACTAATGTTGAAGAAATAATAGTAAGTTCAAAGCTGGAAGAGGAGCAGTGAGGAGAGGCTATTTTAGGCACGGGAATTATCTCATGCAGAAAAAAAGAAAGAGAAGAGAGAGAAAAGACTGACTTGATTGAAAGTGACCAATTGTTTAGTGTAGCTGAGCACTTCCCACATTGGACTGTAATAGCCTATGTACTTATTTGTGTCCCCTTAGTAGGACACAAATACATTAGACTGTAAGCTCCCCAAGACAGAGGAAACAGCCTACTCATTCTTCTATCCCCATAATGAGACACAGAGCCTGTAATCTAATGGATTCTCAACATATATTTGTTGAACTATGTTAGGGACTGGTGAAAAATGAGGATGGAAGATATTATGGGCAGATTGTGAAAGGGCCAGATTGCATACTCTGCTAACGAATTTATATATGGGAATGGTAGAAGTGAAAGAGGTGAGAACAGAGGCAGAGAGATTAGTCAGTTAGAAGCCCACAATAATAGTTTAATTGTGATTTGAAGAGGGCAACCTCAGTAGAGACAGGGAAGAGAAAATGTATTCAAGATGGATTTCCTCCTCTCAGGGAATCAACCAAGATGGACATCGAAGCAGCAGCCACAGCAGCAGAAAGGCACAAAGGTAATGACAGGCCTCTGTCCCTTCTTGTGGGCTACTCAGACATGAGTTCCTAGGACTCAGCTTTTTCACCTTGAACAGACACACCTCAGTCATCTATAGAATTTGCTTCTTCTGCCCATATTCCTCTGTTCCCCAAAGGAGCAAAGTGAAGGGACATCAGTCTAACTGACCCTACATTGAAGGTAAGGGGCCAAACCAAGCCAAGAATCTCCCTTAATGCTGTCCATTCCTCACAGGGTAATGACACAACAGGACATGCGCGTGAGGGGGTGTTAGAGCACTCTGCATCTCAGGAGAGGAGTCAAGGCCTCAGGTCGGAGGAAAGCAACTTACATTATGCAGACATTCAAGTGTGCAGCCCTACCCAACCACGCTCTGTCGGGGAGGTGAAGCACCTGCAGTTACAAAATGCTACAGAGTATGCTACCCTTTGCTTCTCCCAGGCCACACCCTGCTATGACAGCAAGAATGGGACCCTAGTATGAGCCCTGAGGAGGAAGGACCAGTTTCCATCATTTAACCACTACTTCTGTGGGAGAATCTACTGCTTTGGGGAACTGAGTGGCAGCAACACAGGATGGCGGCCACATTTTTAAGCTTAAAGAATTCAGGAGCCCCTGGAATTGTATATCCCTAATCTTGTTCTCTCCCCCTGGCCTAGCTCTTATTTGTCACTAGGAGTGGATGGAGTTGCACAAAATGAGGGGTCTATGCTGAGTGTGCAGAAAAGTGTGGAAAGAACAGGTTACCCCTTAAGCACGTGAGCTGATCTTGTTGAACTTAGTCTAATGGTATTCCTTTTACATACTTAAAACTCCAAAGCTGAAGAAGAATTGGTGCTCTAAAAAAGCATTCTGAGTTTTGGTAGACAGCTCCCAGGCTTGGCTTGGTCCTCAGCAGCTAGGTCAAGGGTCCCCGACCTGAACAGCAAATGAGGCCAGGGGCTGAAGCATGGAGGAAGCATTCTCCAAACATCAGTTACAAGGACTTCAAGTCACTGATACTGACAGCACTATGTAGCCTGGGGAACTCTTCTTGGCGGAACTGCTGGCTCTCACAAGTGCGGAGCCGCTAGGATCAATAAATACCTTACGGAACGTGCCTGTCGCATTTTCTGGGATGGGGATATGCGGGCTCTACGTAAGTGCAGCGGGTCTCGCTCGGCCTAAGGGTCGGTTTGCAAGGTAAGCAAGTAGAGACAGGCCTTCCCGCAAGCTTTGCCTGGGGAGGGGGGGGGTGTGTTTTGGACGGACTGGAGGCAAGTTCCCATCGGCAGAAGCCGGAGCACCCTGGGCAGGGTCCAGGCCAGTAGGAGGCGCCTCCGTACAGGCTGGGGACAGGGTCCTGGAAGTCAGGAGGCGGGGTCAAGGCCGCCAGGGGACGGGACGCGCGCTCCCGCCAGCAAGAAGCGTTCAGGATAGGCGGGGGGCAGGATCAAGGCCGGCGAGGGTTGTGGTCTGAGCCGTTAGGAGGAGGGACCTGACTGGCAGGGGGCGGGGTCTGGGTCGGCAGAAGGCGGGGTCCGA